TCTCAACACTTCGTCAAATAAGTTGACTCAGTACTAATGACGCAATGATATACAATAGACACGGACTAACAAATCGACGTAAATGGGAAACACGGACTTGTGTAATGCAGATATCGTCCATCCAATCCTCCCAACTAGTAAGGTTTATCATGGAGGCTGGGAAGCGCAAGATGAAGAACAATTAAGACGGCGAATTCATGAAAAACTGAGAAATTCATCTGAACATTCGAAGTAAGTTGCGTCTTGTAGAGCAGAATGGGCCCCTCCACATAATTCAATCGTATAGTTTAATTGTTATTCATGCTAACTAGTTAATGTTTAAATTAATTTCTTCATTAAAAAAATACGATAAATATTTGTGCCAAAACGTTTAGAACATGCGTTATAATGAAGAAGCCACCTATATTTTTCCTATATCAGCCATGGAAACTGAAATATAACAGATTTGCTTTGTATAGTTTCATATGCAGAGATCGAAGATTCATCGTACCTAAGTCAACCTACCTAATCACGATTCGCCTTCTGGAACGATTTGACTGAGCCCTTTTCGTTAAAACCTCCAACAAAGGCGTCAATTGACACCATATTTTACTTATTCTTGGACCTTCATTAGTGAATGCATTTAAGGTATTCTATCACTGGCACATAGCAACAGCAAATTTTATTATAATCCGAGTAATAACTTTCGAACAATAGGTATAGAGAACCTCGTACATTTTTAGCATAAATTATTTTAAAGGTCCTTGCTCTAACCCAAAGCAGTCATCCACATACAAAACCTGTTCGATCTATAATGTAGTTAAACACGTCCCTTTTACTTAATAGCCTATTTGAGTATTTTCAATTATTTTCGTCTTATATCTTCATGTTGTATAAAGAGATAATAAATAAACAATACTAGCAATTTTTTTTATCAAAAAAATGCATTTTTTGTCCATTTTCTCAGCCATCGTTGTTTGTAAACGAATAACAGTGAATATCTAAAATTGTATGACAATATTCCACATTGATAGTAGACTACCTTGATATATTACTATATTACTTGACATTTTTTTACAAAAAACTTTTGTTTTTACCGTAAAAGCAATCTGAGTTTGAAAAAAGTACTCAAGACCTAGAAAAAGAACAGTACAAACCACTGCTTAAAATACAACTTTTTGGCTAACAAGGTTTTCGAGCTATCATTGCTATTTGGTGTAAATTTTGAAATAAACCCACCTCCCGCTGGCCGCGCCCACCGCGGCGGATAATTGGCCGTAATAAGAGGTAACTATGCGTATCTCTTCGCCGTGATGCCACGTTTCAGCATATGTATTCTGTTCGCTACTGCTGGAAGTGTATCGGTCGTGTACGATTTGTTGTTATTAAGACGTTAGTTATAACATTGTTGTTGTTAAAAGTTGCCTAAAAATGGTGCTGCATTATCAAAACGGTTTAAGCGCACGCGACGAAGCAAATAACAAAAAAGGCTTTGCTAGCAAGGTAACTGTTTCTTTGAAATCCTTTGTATATAATTCCACAAATTCGAGTATTGACTGTAATTGACTGTAACCGTCAGTAGCATAGTTTAGGTTTTATGGTTAGTTTTTTCAAGCTGGGACACAATGCCCCTTTGAAGCTTTTAAATTGAGGTAGTCGATGTATGCTAGGCCAAAAACCTGCGCTATTGTCACACAAATGATTGGATCAAACATTTTCCATAGAAGTTCCCATTTTCCCCAGTTTGGTTCAAAAAAGTCATATTCATGTTTTAGCTCGTCTCCAGCCTTGCCTTCGGACTTTGATATCTACATCTTGCTTTTTTATCCAGGTTGTTGTCAAGAAATGAAGTTGATGAACTGTGTGCATAGCCTTTTGTTCACAACAGCAACGAATTATCTGAGGTTTGTCCAGTTAGTGGCAAAAGTTTTGTTGGCAAATCCTCGTTCAATACAGTCTTACGATAAGGATTATGCTTTTGAATCAGTGAGGGACCAGAATTACCTAAGCATTGTTGACAGAATTGATGGCAGGAGGATTGTTAATTTGGGCCATATCTTGTCGTAGTAACGTAAAGTGTGCAATCATTGGAGGAAATGTACAATGGGTGGGATGGACTTCGTGAAAGAAACAAACAGAGGTCATGTCATAAAGTGACATTTTTTTTGCGAAAATTGTAAGAAAGCTATGGTTATATAATCAGAGTCAAATAATAACACGAAAAAAACTGACAATTCTGCAGCAGTTTGAGACAAATTAAATCACTTAGGCTTAACCGAACACGAAGTTCACACCAGACTTTGACATTTTCATAAGTTAACATATCAGGTTCAGAAACACCAAACTATCATTGAAATTTCTCTACTCCTCATAAAGAAAGGTAATTAAAGCAACAAAGAGGTAATCCAGATTTGGTGCTTATCTCAACAACACCTGACGTCCTTGTATGTCTTTCTTTCTGGTGAATAATTTTACTTTGGGCTTCCACCTCTTGTTTCACCAGCGCCTGAACATAAAACGAGTGGTGCGTGAGAACTTTACAAATATCGCCCTATTTCTATCTTGCCTATATTTCACGTCTTATTTCGAAATCAATGACTTGATTAGCGACAATTAGTTTGGATCCAGAAAAGGCAAATGTAAAAGTGCAGTTGTAGTGCAACTTGTGCACTATGTTAAGCAGTACACGTATTTCAACAATAATGACTCTGCCGCTATCCTAAAATAGTTTGTTTCTTTTATATACAAATATTTTGTCCGTGTCCGTGCATCAATTTCACTACTTTGCATTTTTTCTTGCTAACTTTGCCCTTTAAAAAAATAAAGTAGAAGGGTCGTTCCTCGAAATCAATGTACAAATTTTTTATGATGAATCATAAAATGTGTGGAAATAAACGTTAGTCAACGGAACACGTTGCACGCCACTCCTTAAATTCGGCAGGATGCTCGCACTCCGACTTTGACAGTTCCAAGAGACGCCTCGCCTGCAGACAAGGTTAGCGAATTTAAAAATGTACGCACCATGTTTCCTATATTATTAAAGGGATAACAGACAATGTTTTTAAGAACAATCGACAAAAGTAAGGTTGCAACTGAAGCATCATGCCGGGTGACAAAGATAACTACACAAAAGAAGAAATCTTATGAAGTCGGGATAATGATCAAACGGGCGTTTTTAGAAACTGCAGATTCATTATTTGACAAGTTTAGAAATAAAGACGAGATAGTGTCTGCTATACAATCTGTGCAACCTTCTGCTAATACAGTGACTAGACGAGTAAAAGTAATAAGCAATGAATACATTGTATACGCAATGTATATGTCGCAGCCAACTAGCTTAATTAGCCGTTCAATAAACAGCCTAGCCTCTTTACCAAACAGCGCTGTTCAACTAGCGGCCTGAATGATGTTCAGCCGTAGCGGCTATTACAGCATTTAATAAAATGGCTCGAAAATACTTAAGCCATTCGTAGGATAGGGTGACCATGTGACAGAAATAAAAAAAACATGAGACATTTGACATAAGGTATCCTTTATTTATTATATTTAAAATGTAACATATTACTGTTATTTGGAAATCCTGAGATCAAATAACGTAACTTAAGTACACAAGTATTAATATTATTTGTTAACACAAGTTAAGCGTCCATGGCATTTGGACCCGTAAAGAACTTTGTGCTTGGAACTGGCACATCTATTATTGCCACCTTGATTAACAGCAGGCTTACAGTTACATTTTTGGAATCCCTGGCCACCGAAAGGTGACTGACCTGCCACAGTCTCTCTTAAAGAATAAGGTTTTCTGAAATTTCATCGCCATAGTCTGTATCTGAGTACTGCAAGTCTTGGCGAGAAAACCAGTTTTTAATTGTACCATACTTAGTTCCAACTTTATGAACGCCATTTCTTATGTCAACAATTTTATTCCGCATGTTGCATGTATAACATTATTGCAAGACTCACATTTGTGCGCTTCAGTGGCACTGTTATGGCAAACTACACAGGTGAAGTTTGATTTTAAATTTTCAATATTTTCCGTTACGGTTTTCAAATTGTCATCGTTGTTATCGCAGTTACTGTGTGTAGCTTCAGCTGATTCTCGCTCTCTTAAAGTTTCCAATTGCTCCTCTGTTTCTATAGTTAAAAGTATACTATTTTGATAATTTAAAAGCCACTTAAACTCACCATCGGGAAAGGACTGAAAATCCATAAGGTCGACTTGTCCTCTTAGATTAAAATCACGTGAGACGATTGGCTTCGTTACAATACCTTTTCTTGGTGCGTTTCTTTTAGTTTCACATATAGGACACAAAGACACAAAAATTTCTACTGCTTTCTTAGGAATATAATATCTGTTCTTTATGTCGTACAAAATTTTATCTCGCTCACCATGACCGCAGGATTTATGTACATCTAACAAGATATCAAAATACTGTTCTCTAGGTAAAATGCGTACTGTGGGATCGGTCGCCGTGAGTCTTTTAAAAATTAAAGAATATTCATTTGCAGTTGTCATAATGTCGTATTTGCCCATCCAATCAGCCGAGTTTCTTTCAGGGTAAGAGTGATGCACCAAAAAATTAAATAGGAAACTATGGCTGTATATATATATATATATATATATATATGTGTGTGTATATATGATATGTATGTGTGTCTATATATATGTATGTGTATATATGTATATATAAGTATTATGTATGTGTATATATGTGTGTATATATTTACTCGTATATGCGTACCTATTATTTTTTTTCTATTTTTATTGTACTTACTTCTTTTACACCTTGTTCTGTTTATTATTATTTTATCTGTTGTTTTCTCGACTAAACTGTGTTTCTTTCCATTTTTAACCGACAAATTTATGTATTTATACTTAACTATACTTTTAATTTTTGTAGATAATAATGTACTCATAGAGATATGCCTGACGAGTCTTATATCATTTCTATGATCCGAAGACAATAAAGCATCTATCTATCTAATCCATTGCCGTCCTTCGCTGTCCAGAACTCATGGCCCCCTTAGCTTTTTTATGTCGTTCATAACCTCCAAAATTCTTTCTGCTGTCTAACCTTTCCTATGCGATCCTGCAATGATAAAATATAAACCACATTAATTATATACCCTTGGTAAATAATTTATTACATACTTCACAATAGAACAAAGAATAATTACGAAGGAATCAAAACAAACTAACCTTGATGCTGTTCGTCATATTCAACAAGTTTTCGATCGAAATTCGCTTTAAAAATTGAATTGCTTGAGTCAGTCACAGCTAAATTCACGTTATTATTGTCACAACACTGTTCCATTGAACTATTTTTCATTAAACTTTGGAAAACACCATCAAATTTGTTGTTTGCCGACGCCATATTGACAGTTTTAAGAGTTTCGGCACAGGGTGGCAGAAAGGAACTAAATTTAAATGAACAGGCTAGGCAAGTAGTTAAGCGCTATCGCTTTAAGCCGCTAGTTGAACAGCGCTGTTTGGTAAAGAGGCTAGGCTGTTTATTGAACGGCTAGTTTTGCTAGTAGGCTGCGACATACACATTGCATTCATTCTATACGCATTGTATACATCCAGACGCAGATAATTAATGTATACGCGTAAACGCACATCACTGAGCTTAATGCACTGAAAAGGTTGGCGACCACTGCTCAATATTCAACGAGCATGTGTGCTGCCATGCATGCGCATAAAATCGACTCGTCTGACAAATATTAGCCAGAATGTTTTTACTGGCCCCATAGTGTGTTGATAGCTCCAAAACATCTCCATCTTTCTGTTTACATTTTCTGTTATTTATGACTAGAAAGCAGTTCGCGGCAATCTATAAGGGTTGTTGTCTCTTTTTGTGAGGGAGAGCGGAACCAGAGCACCACTACCCGTCGGCATCGAATAATTAAGAGGCATTTCTGCGAGAACTTATCTTCCTCCGTCTATTTATATTTGTATTTACTACCGACATTTATAAGCAAGGCTTGTTTGTTTTACGAAGACGTTGCAGCATCCTCTGGAGAATAATAATTTTGCCCGCCGGTTCTTCTTTATGTATTTCATTGAGATAAGTCGTTAATAGTCGCTTTTTTATGCACCTAAATTACGTCGGTAAATTGTTCCGCATGCTGTCGTGTTAATCAAAAAGTATGTATCTACAGTTAACGGGAAACTAAGAAAATGGCTCTGAAGTTGAACATTTGAATTTCGTTTATGGTATTTTTCACGAGTGTCCATTACGTTTTGACTATTCGTCATTGTCTGTCAGAGCGGTCCGTAGGACCTTTGCTCTTGGTTGAAGTCTTGTAAGTCAGTAGGTCTGCCAGTTCTGGTTGCCCAGATACCAAACAAAGTCAGGGAGAAAGAAGGGAAGAAGAAAGGAAGGAAGGAAGGAGGGAGAGCAAAGAAAAAAGAAGTGCATCAATTTGAGGGCTGCCTTGGCATTGCTAGTTAGTATTCGTCAATTTTAAATTGATCCTTTAATTAATTTTGGGATTGGTTGTTGAAGAAAAATTATAATTTTGGTTGGACCTAAAGTTGCGAACTTGCTCGACTGTGTAGTCTACTGACTCGCGCAACAAAGGGTTGTTATTGATTGACTGTAACGTAGCTGCGCTTGTTGTTTGATGTAGTCCCTTAGGTAAGGGATGTCAAGGTCTCTGTGAAGGGTCTCGTTGGAAACATACCATGGGGCGTTAGTGATTGTACGCAAGGTTCTGTTCTGCAAAATCTGCAGGCTACGCAAATGCGTTTTGGCGAGAAAAGACCAAGCCGCACTTGCGTTAGTGAGCGCTGGTCTAATAACCATCTTGTATACCCGAACTTTGTTGATCAAACTTAATTTCGATGTTCTACATAGCATATGGTAGAGTTGCCGAAACGAGATTTGGAATTTAGTTTTTAACGCTTCAGTGTGTTTCTGCCAGGTTATCCCCTTGTCAAGAGTGACACCGAGATACTTAGCAGAGCTTTCCCATGGTGCCCGAGCTCCATTCACTGAAACCTCAGACGGGGCGCCGCTACGTTTTTTAGTACAATAGATTGCCTGCGTTTTCGAATGAGTAATTTTGATAAGCCACCGATTCACCCATTCCAATACATCGTCCACTGCACTTTGCAGCCTGTCGTGAACTAGATCCCCAGAGCACGACTGGGCCACCAGGGCAGTGTCATCAGCATAGAGATAGGTTTCACAGCTGCTGGGGCAAGGGACGTCATGAATAAAAAGTGAATAAAGGATTGGTCCAAGTACCGAACCCTGAGGGACACCGGCTTTGATGGGCCGTGTTGTCGACAGAACGTTATTAATTTTGATCCGAAATTTCCTACCCTCGAGAAAGGATTTCAACAGTTTTAGGAGCCAGAAGGGGAAGCCCTTATGGATCAATTTGTAGAGAAGGCCCTTGTGCCACACCTTGTCAAATGCCTTTGGGACATCCAGTAGCAAGATGCCAGTACTTTCGTTACGGGTGAACCCCCTGGTTACTCGTTCAGCAAGCCTTATGACCTGTAGCTCCGTACTATGCTCAGACCGAAAGCCAAATTTCACGTCAGGAATCACATTGTGGTCTGGCGATAAATTTTCAAGGTGACGTAGAATCACCTTTTCAGAGAGTTTAGAAGGAGCTGACAGTAGACTAATGGGGCGGTAATCCTGTGGGAATATCGAACCCACCTTCTTTGGAATCATTATGACATCAGCGGTCTTCCACGCCGTTGGGAAGAGCTGGGTCGTTAGCATGGCATTGATTATTGCCACAAGATAAGTTAAGGACTTCCGCGAAAGTAGCTTCAGCGCCTTATTAGTGATTCGATCCTCTCCAGGTGCTTTACGCACCTTGAGGTCTTTAATATGACCTTGGAGCTCTGCTGGTGTGCAATGCGGAGTCTCAGGAGATTCCGCTGATGTGCCGTGCGGCTCTTCGATTGAGGAATCTTCTGAAGATTCCTCTGAGGAAAAATCACTAAGGGAGGCACTACTGCCACTGACGCCGTTGGCCCTAAAATATCTCGTGACGGATCTTACAATATGTTGCTCCTCGTCGAGTTCATTATCAAGGTCATAGTTGGGAGAGAACTGACTTTCCATTGCATCAGCGAAAACCTCGACCCTTTCCTCTGTCCTACAGCCTAAGCCCCTAGGACCATGGATGTGCGAGAGTTGTTCTCGCTTTCCGTTTCTGAGCGACGTTGCAACTTTCCAGAGAGGAATACTTGAGTCAAGCATCCCCGACAGAAACTCGCTCCATTGCTCATTACGGAATTCATGAAAAGTATTTCTCACTTCATGAACAAGATTAGTTGCTCTGTGAATGTCATCTGTGTGACCAGACCTCTTCGCTTGCTTAATTGCGGCTCTTTTGTCAGAAATTTTCTGACGAATGTCTGCAGGGAGATACGTTTTGACGTCTACCGATGTGAACGGCTGATCACTAAAGCGACATCTTTATATTAGTCTGTAACGTTGACAATAATTAATTTCAGGGCCGTATTCAGAGCTGCTGTTCACATATCTGGATTATACTTTTAAGACACTGGGAAATTGGACTCAAGGCCATACTCAACTTCGCTAGAAAGGCGAGGCTTGAGGTCTAAGGAATGTGGAGGTGCATAAGGGCCCGTTTAAGCGGCCTATTCACTCGGAAATTTGACAATACAATATAAAAGGCTTTTGTTATAAAATTATTATAGTTTATCTGGGATTTATTGATTACGAGGTAAGTCAATAGAACAGACTGCGTGGTCGTTTCTAGTAGATGTGCTAACTACAATTAACCGTAAAAAATGATGTAGACACGATGTTCTGGTTAATTGTTCATCATCAGTGTAACGTAATTTCATTTCATTTCATTTCTTTATTAGTTCTGTTGGACCATCATAAGATGTGATGTTGAATTTTCGCAATCTACTAATAAAGATACATCTTTATTAGTAGATTGCGACATAAAACAATTAGTGCTACCGAAGTCATTTACAAAAATTATATACAGCAATGGTCGCAATATAGAGCCCCGTGGAACTCCCACTTCACTATACAGATTGCTACGTACTTTTCGAGTATTTTCAGAAATGGACTGAGCAGGGATATTGGTCTAAAGTTTTCTAAAAGACTGCAGTCTCCTTTTTTGAAGATGGGAATTATTTTTTCAATTTTCAAACAACTGGGAATCTTACCCTCCTCCAAAGACCAGTTCACCAAGTAAGCAACTACTCCAGCAATCAGGTGGGCACATTTCTTCACAACGTTTGTGCTAATACCATCCTCACCAACATAGTCAGATGGTTTCAAATCCCTGATGATATCCAGGATCTCCTTTTCACACGCAGCGAGGAAAAATAAACTGTGACTAATTTTTGAACCTGGTAAAACATTGCTTGGAATAACTGACAAACACTCAATGCTGTCCAGAAAGTGGTTATTAAAAGCTGTTGTTACATACTGAGGATTATCAGTTGGTGAGTTTCCAGCTTTTATATTGATCTTTTCATTTTTGGATGATTTGGGTTTCAGTATATTCCACGCTGCTTTGGGTTTGTTTGTGGCTTGCATGTTAATGCGACTGTTGTATAACTTTTTTGCTGCGGGAAGCAATTTTTTATATGACTTTTTGTATAAGTTATACTAATTTTTCATATCTACATCCTCTCTGGTTAAATTATACAGTTATCTTAATCATAGGCCAGATATAATTAAACCGTTTGTTAACCAAGGTTTTCTTCTTTTGATTTTAGTTTATATAACTTTTTTTAAGAGGGAAAGCTAACTCGAAGTAATACTTGAATACGTTAAGAAATGGCTGAAACCTACTCTCTATATCATATAGATATCAAGCCAATTTTATCTGCTTAATAAATCCAGAAAATGTTTCATGTTATGTTCATTATGTATTTGTCTATAGTGATATTTTATTGGTAACTGAACAGTATTACCTTCATTTATAATTTGTATCATTTGTGCTATATGGCCGATGATACAGCCATTAAGTACTGTGCAAGAAAATTCACAATCTTCCATGTTCACACAGATATTGTCTAAACATGATTTTCCCCTGGTAGGTTCATTTATGGTTGTTCTTATGTTCCACGAGCTAGGATGATCTGATAAACTACTTAATTGTCTACTGGGGCATAAAAAATTAACATTGAAGTCTCCACAGATAACTATTTGTGAATCTCTAAGAGAATGTGTGATCGTATTAAGCTTTTGCAGGAAAACCTCAAAATTTGAAACTAGGCTTCTGTAAATGACTAACACAGTGATATTAAGTTGTTTACAAGAAATGTCCGCACACTCAAACTCCTTATCAATACAACTACACTTCTACACTTCTGGAATGAATACTATTTTTAGAAGATATAGCAGCACGGCCGTTTTTATAATTAGTTCTACAAT